TATTTGTCAATTAAATCAGTTTATCTTTAAGTTGTATTTTTTGTTTCTTTTTTTCCAAGAAAGAACCATTTTATTACTTCGATAAATAATCGATTTGCCGATATATATTTTAAACAACTTATACGTATTTATTAGTAATACAATAAGTGCTTCTTTCACGAGATCTTTTACAAGAACATACGCTACTTGATATGTTAAAGGCAAAGCCTTGTATGCTGACTTTCAAGTATACGGTACTTAGTGAACCCTACCATGAATAATTTACGTAGTTTCCTTCATCGGCATTGTTACTCCTTTCCAGTCAACTTGCCTTCCGATTTAACCCTATAACGATGACTGCCTTTTGCAGCTAATCTAAAAGGGTTTTCAATTGCTATCGATTTCAATGCGAGACAGATACTTTTTAAAGATTGAAAAGCACGAAATTCGTCTGCTACGTTTTTATCGACATTCTCCTCAAAAAATAATGATTTCTGTTATAAACTATTTATAATTCTATTTAAAAAATTGTTGAAATATAAATTCCTGTAATATATTAACGTTAATTCGTCAATTCAATATTTTTAATATTTATAATTAATTTATATCGAAATCGTTTAAAATTTTTGAACTACGATATTTAAATTTGCATTTGAAACAGTGAATTTTTTTATTATGAGATAATGAAAGAGATAGGTCATTGGACTTTCTTGACTATTAAAAATATAATTCTCTAAGAACGTTTAATTATGAAGATTTCTTTGTATTTACGTGTCTCGTTAATATAACTTTATAAATCTAAACAGAAAGAGATGATGATGAGACAGTTTCGAAATGTTGAAGATCAAAGAGAGGAAAGTGTCATTCAGGAAAAAGTTAAAGCTAATTAACGAACATAGTTCCGTGGACAAGGTAACTGCCTCGTCGTGCTCGAAACTCGCTCGGGTCGACGCGTGTAAAAAAAAAAAGGAGAAAGATTGCTGGAACGCTGATCAGAATGCGTAATATAATATCACATTTTTCCAGTAAAATTCTGGCCTTACTCGAATTATTATAATCTGGAATTTATCTGTTTTAAACTTGCAAAATATTTTATAATTACATTGAAAAATTTATCGCTAAAACTCTAAACTAAAATATTTATATACATATATATATATATATATATATATATATATATATATATATATATATATATATATATATATAGATTTAATAATATAATGGAACAAAACAAAATTAAAAATACTTCGATAAAATATTAATCAATGATAAAAATATTTTTATAAAGATATAAATCATGATTTTTTTCTTTTTTTTTTTCGAAAAATTTATGTTCTTTTCCTTTTAAAATTCATTACATCTCTTTTCTTTGTTTTTTTTTTTTTTATTTTTAAAAAGTTAAAAAGGCTTTTTTAAAGCTATACAAGAATTTCGAATTAAATTAATGCCCTCTCCAAAACCAACTGATATACTCATGATATACTCGGTAATGATTAATTTTGCGACGTTATTTGTTTTCAGCAAGCGACTGTTTCGAACTAGGACGACAATCTTACCATAATAGAGATTACTATCACACCGTGTTATGGATGCAAGAAGCTATGGACCGTCTGCAAGAAGAACAGAACACAACGACAACTTCCAAACCGGATATTCTTGAGTATTTGGCTTTCTCCACGTATATGCAGGGTATTCAAATGATAATATTTTATTAATGAATTGTTTATCGAAAATTTTTTTTATATAAAAAGATCTTAATCTCACATATCGCGTTATAATAATTGAAAAATTTTATTTTTCTTTATTACATGGTAAAATTACAGGATAAAAATTTTTAAGCGCTCTAATAAAGAAATAAAATAGAAATAAAAATAAGAGAAAAAAGGAAATAAGTATAATAAAAAAATGGTTCCATAAGTAGAAAATATAAATAGTAATTACTCCGATGCTTTTTATCTTTCGCATTTGCTATTCACGCAAGAGAGAAAGAAAAATTATACCAATCTAGTGATCCGCAATAACGACTCGAACCTATACAAGGTTATCACTAAAATAAATAAAACGTACCTAAGCGTAACAAAAATATTTTCTTTCTTTTAGATTAAGTTCGTAGTTGTCCGTTAAAAATTTATTAATCTTTTGTGTTCATCAAGATTGATTGCTTTTCATACTTGCGAAACTATCGATTTAATTTCGATAATTTTTCCATACAATACAGAGAATTAATTCGTTAAATCGTAAAAAAAAAGGCGAATCTTGACTATATAAATTTTCTATTCCAAAAATGTCCACTTTGACTGACTTGCCGAAATATTTCAAATGTATACATATCATATTTGAAAATAGTTTTCTACCAATTTGTATTAACTACGTATATAAACCAAAATTGCGAAAGTAATTTTCTATGAAACTACGATAAAATGAAACTATTTTAATGAATATATATTTTGTAATAAATTGTTAAAAAAAAAAAAATAGTTAAAGAATAGAAAAAAAAAACATTATTTTTTTAATTCAA